AAAACTTTGCTAGAACCAGCTTATTCCTTGTCATCCTCTTCATCTTCCTCCTCTCCCTCCTCTTCTTTCTTTTTCTTGCTTTTTTCAGCCTTGACGACTCCCCTTTTGGCTGCATCAGGCTGGGCGGCAATATCCTTCTCATATGTTTCCTCTAGCTTTGCAGCCCTCTTTTCATCAGGCTGCTGTCACCCACAGCAGTGTTACTCCACATGTCTCCCAGCTTCTCTGCAGCGTCACCAAAGGATAGGTCGGGATGTTCTCCTTTGATTTTGGGGTGATACTCAGAACAGAACAAGAAAAAGGCCAAAGCAGGCTTCTTGGGGGCTTTGGGATCCTTGAACTTCTTTTTTGTTTTCTCTGTAGGAGGGTATAGGTTTTCATTTCTCTTTCATAACAGGCCTCGTCCGGCTTTACCAGATCTTACATTTTCCTTTCTCTTTAGCAGATATGGTTTCCCACCTCTCTGAGCATTCAGAAAGCTCTGAGAATCTGACTGAAGCCTCTGGCTGCTTCTTCTTGTACCCCTCCCGACGAGTTTGCACTAAGAATGCGTATGATGACATTCTGCTGTCAGCTTCTTAGGGTCACCTTTGCCGTGTTCAGTTATTTTTCCTCAGCAAAGCACAGAGGTGCCCAGGGCCCATCTGGTTCTCACTTGCCCCGGCACTGTCTCCTTTTTTTTTTCTCCATTCTGTCACCCTGGTAGAGTTCTGTGGCATCATAGCTCACAGCAACCTCAAACGCCTGAGCTCAAGGAATCCCCCTGCCTCGGCCTCCCAGAATGCTGGGATTATAGGCAGGAGCCACTATGCCCAGCCTACTTCCTGCACTTTTATTTCATGTTTTCGTCTGGCAATTATATACTTAATTTCCCCAGAGGGGTTTCCTGTTTGTTGTTTCTGTTGCTCTCCCGCAGCTTTGTTTGTGTCAGGAAAACTTTGTTTTCTGATAGCAGCCAGCAGCTTCTCTCTCTTTTTTTCTGTTTACTGAATAGACTCCAGACTCACTTTCCAAAAGTCCGTCTGGACTTCTTGTTGCATTTATAGATTTCCTTCAACAGCTGCTGCTTCGTATTTAATATATAAGCCGCCAGG